AAAAAGGGGGGGGGGGGGGGGGGGGGGGGCGTCAGGCCTCCTCTGACCCCCCCCCCCCCAAATCCGCCACTGGACATTCTCAACAACAAGTCGGATATTCTTTAAAGTTCACTGTGCTGCTTTATTCAAAAATTGTCTTGTCCGCAACTAGAAGAAATACAATGCAAGGAACAGTTAGGTTTGATAGTGAGGCGTATTGCGTCTAGCAAATTATCAATGGTTTTTAGATTCAAAACTTATAATAATACTTTGTTATATTGCCACATCATTAGCTTGACCTGACACATATATCTTATTGCCGCTATTCTGACATTCTTTGACGAGCTAGAAGAGTTGTAATCTAATCAAGAAGATAAAACAAAAATATCACTAGGAACTACGTCATTTTCTTTATTGTAAACCCAGATTTTTGGGTGGTAAAGTTAACCAAACATACCCCATTGTGCATTACGCTCAAAATGCTTACTTGAATAATAAGGAGACACTGTTGGTTCATGACTTACGTCAAAGTTAGACCTACTTTTATTTTCGAACTGTAACAGTGGTTTCAATCGCAATTTAATAATTCGTAATATTCGAAATACAGCAAGCAACGTGAGATTGAAATAATATTAGTTTTATGATATTCCTTACGTGTAAATATAAATCTTGAAAATTAAGAATAATCATGCTATCATTTTTAGATTTTTTCCCAAATATCTCCCAATTGTGATAAACTCTGTGTTCTTATATGTCTCTTGAGTATCAGTTAAGCCACTGGCAATGATTTCATCTCTTCCTATCAAACCATTTGTCAAACGCAATAAGCAATCGCCTTTATTAATAATCAAACAATACGCGACAAGCGTTAATGAATACAGTAGTATTAATAACTTAAAATGACAAAGAACAATATCCCATCCCTTACCAGATAAATTATCTAAGGTTAGACCTAATTTGCAAATGTTGCGTTCTTGGTCTTGCCTTCTACAAAGGTGCGCTGTTCAATTATCGTGAACAAAAAGAAGAATTCTAACGCCTGCATATTGATTTGATCTGGATGTACTTTGGAAGCCTTACCAAGTACATACGTTTGACCAGTATTAGACGTAAAACTAAGTAAATGACGAATGTCTATAAAGCAGAGGAAATCCATTAAACAAATGTTTAAGTATCGGAAAAAAAGAACTATATAAGCTTTGCTTGACTATCAAAATCGTTCCTTTGTAGGACAAAATACATGCACGTTTGGATATAGCTAGGAAATGCCGGGGGCTATCTCCCGCTGATGATCGTTGTTCTGTGTCTGGTTGATTTACTTCTCTGTACATGACTGTGGAAAATTTCCGATTTGCTGTTTTGTTAACGCCGAAATCTATGGCAACATAATGGCTGCCAATAGGTATTACGTCATCGTGACACTTTTGCGACGTGAGCCGGATGCCGGAAACAGTATCTAATAATGGTGTGTTTCCTCAATTTATGGTGTGTCCAATATACCGTTCTTTTGTACAATTAATTTAAACAAAATTGGAATTTATAAATGAAAATTGTTGTTTGTGAGTTTCGACGAGAGAAGACAATGAAGTAGTAAAGTTTATTTTCCGTGTCGTTATCTTTCCTCCTAGTTCATCTAACTAATATTCTACAAAAATCCAAGGACATTTTTCCATTTACAACATGTCATTAATGCATATATTATTATCTTGTAATTAGTTCCAAGTTTCTGAAAGAAATGTGAAGCGCTACTTGTAAGGGAATACTCCCAATATACACATACTTAAGTAACTGTTGGGACGAACATGAGAACATTAAATTTTGTTCTAAAAATCATTGTCTAAAATGCCGAAACCGCTGGGGTACTACCCCCTGGATACACCTACCCCCTGGGTACACCAAACCCCTGGGAATCACAGAGTGATATAGTATACTTTCATTTTTTGAATAAAAATTGGAAAAAAATACGTGTGCAATTCAGCTACTGAGACAACTGTAGAACATGAGCTGACAAGAAGCTTGGCAATACATATATGATCTAGAGTGCCTGGATGCTGGGGTAATTCTTGATCCCGTAAACGCTTCTCCCTTTTTTCTTGAAGGAAATCGAATCGAAATGTTGCGAAAAGTGTTTTGTACATTTGCTTCCCCATCCGATACCGTCCAAACCTCTATTACTTTTTCCAATGATCCGCCAGTAGGTATGAGGAATCAAAAACAAGCTTACCATTTTCGATTGGTACATTGAATTTACACTAGGAAAGACGCCATATGGTATTTAAGCGGGGGCTATTCTAAATTTACTATCTAAAAGAAGTCGCCCATAGAAACAATTAAAGAAGTATAGCAGATATAGCATGTAAAGCAACAGAGATCACATCGACGAAAGCTTACTTATATTTTTGTGACTAAATTTAACTTACTTATGGTATAAGTGATGTTAGTTGTTCTCATTCATATCCTGAATATATTCTTATTATTCGAATACTTATCCTAAGGTTTTACTTATCTGATATGATTTCCAAAAAGCAACACCACCGTTACTTCTATTCCTAGTACTTACACCATTTGAGATCAAATTTTCATAATTTATTTAGATTTTCATTGCACGCATGCTTGCGTATGTCACTATACGCCGGAATGATGAAAGTTTAAAATCAGATAATTTTTCCCGCATGTTACAAAAATAAGTTAATTTTAGATTTCGGAAATGTATTGCAGATTACTATGCCATTGTTCCATTCTTTGCCTAGCTGCGTTCCTCTTCCATTGGTGGCGTCTGTTGCAGACGATTACGGGTTGCTTTGAATCCTTCTTCATCTTCCTGCTTTCTGTTCTTTCCCGCTTCCCGTCCAAACATACTTGACGCGATTTCATCCAACGCTCGTCCAAACATACTCGAAGCAATCTCGTCTAACGCACGTCGTCCAAACATCCTGCTGGCGATTTCGTCCAACTCGCGTCGCTGACTGGGCTTCAGGTCCTTAACCTCCCGACCAAACATCGAGCTTGCTATCTCGTCCAAAGCTCGGCGTCCAAACATGCTGGAGGCAATCTCGTCAAGGGCTCGGCGTCCGATTAAGTTACTGGCGATTTCATCAAGGGCGCGTTCGTCGAACATCTCAACGTCACCGTGGTTTGGAATAGACTTCTTAATGAACGCGCTCCCGAGGGTATCAAGCATGCGCTTTCGGAGGAGGTTGCTGCCGAGAGAATCCAACATCCTTTTACGAAGGAGGTTACTTCCTAGGGAATCTAGCATGCGTTTCCTTAGGAAGCTAGAGTCCAGGGTGTCCACTGGCCTCTTGTCCTCTGACCTCTTCTTCAGAAGGTCACTGCCCACAGTATCCAGCATAGTGCGTTTCCGGAGCAATGACGACCCCAGAGTATCCAGGTCACGTCTTTCTACTACCTTCTTTTTGGAGTCATCAAGACTGTTTACTCTGTAATAATAATAATAATAATAATAATAATAATAATAATAATAATAATAATAATGATGATGTTACTGAAGAGCCTTATTTTAATTATTGCAAGGTCTGTGTATACTGGATACCGAAACACTTTTATGGGAATTAAACTACACAGGGCAGTAATATTCAATTCACATCCCCCCGGAACCCGTAAACTTACATGATCGTTGCTAGAAATATAATAAAATGTACCTTTAAATCACTCAGCTGTTTTAGGACATGCAGTGTGCTATACTTTGATTATTACTCCGTTTTGTATAGCTAAGCACTTGATAATTAGCTCTAAAAGCCTACTGAAGAAAATACATGTAGGAGCTCGTCCTACGTAATGTTGGATCATATGTGATGATGATGAAATAGCCTAAGAGAAAGGTGCTGCGTACCCGAGGTGCTACAGCTAGCGTGATAAGACACACGTGTGTTTTTAATAAGATATATTTAATAAATATTTTGCCATAATAACTGCACTTTCAGTATAGCTACCTTGAACTTAATGGCCACTAAATGTAGACTTACGAGGGTTTAATCAAAGTTCACCACCATTTTAATGCTTACTCAGTGGTATAATTCAAACATTGTATTTAACTGACGGAAGAAGAACTGCCGGAATTTAAACAGAAAAAATATAACCAAATGTTAAGGAAAATGAATGAAAGCCGTATTGTACAAACCTTGTTACGATGGCGATCAAACAACATACTATAGGTATTACCAGATTATTCCACTGCATACTGTACTTTTGTGTTCGTTATATCTGGAAATAAAAAATGACTTTGTTACAAAAACTATAAGATCTCCCTCCGACAGGCACTTATATCGCCTTCTGTGTTTTACCTGAAAAGACAAGAAGCAACTGAATTATCGGTGCAAAGATGGTAATGAAAATAAACTAGCCTTAAAACTGATGACAGACAAGGAATTATTACAGGTGGCCATTACGAAATTGTGAAATATGTTCCTCGATGTCTCTGGTATGGAGGTGGTGAAACGCCATAGCTTTCGTCTCTTTGTTACAAAGATTAACTTTTTATCAACATTGGGATGTTTTTATTTCTTTTTTTTTTTCTTCGATGCACTTTGCTCACTGAAACAGTCCCATTGGCTCCTTTGTCTCCAAACCTTTGGGATACCACCAAAAACAATCTCATACCAGCTGGACATCCCTTAATATCTGCATAAATGTTCATTCCCTCCTTAAAAGACACGATAAACTACGAGTAAGTTCTTTCTCAAGAAAAACTGTTGATTTGATTTCTTAGCAGACTGTTTTGAAACCCACATCCGATCTCTTTTATGAAAAAAGGAAAGAGCAATGCTGTTCCCGTCGGCTTACTTAATGGTACATCTTTTTGATATCTATTTGGAATATTTATGCCTAAAAATTTCAGTCCCAACCACTGCACTAACCTGTGTTTCCTTCAAGAACAGCAGGGATGAGACAGACTCGGAACCAGAGAGTACATTGAACAGATTCTTGTGCACATAAAATACGATTAGTGTTTTTGCCTGAGGTTAGCAGTTGGGTAAACGAATCTCAAAAGGAACCTCGCGTGTGAGCCGTTCCTAGGCACGAGGCATTTCTAAGAGCGTTGTCTGCTCTATACAGCTGCAAACCCGTATGGAAACTGATGACGTTTGTCGGGGTTACCAGTGTGTGAGAGAGGGAACTTACTTTGTTAACAGAAACAAATATATTTCTGAATTTTCTTATGACAATCTTTATATTCACCAAGCCTGATTAAGTACAAGTGTAAGGTTGAGTGGATACTCGTATGTTTGTAGAGGCATAATTCTGCAGGAGCCAAATTCTTGTCTAAAGTTTTTCTTAGGTTAGGTAAGCGAGTTGAGAATCTGAGCCAAAGTAAGTTTAACAACAAAATATGAAATGCTGTTTTCCTCTTTTTAATGCTCTTTAGACCAAGTCAATACAACAGAACTTAATTGCCGGGACAGTTAATGTATCTCACATTTGTAGCCGTATCATACCTAGGTATATATATCAACAACATATGTTGGGGATCCATTTCTTTTGGAGCACTTAAAGAACGATACCACAATGTCGCCTTTATTTTGTCTGACTCCCAAGTTTAGCAGACTTAACTCAATTTAGCCCACGACTTCAAGTCACTTGTGAGGTAACACCAAGTCGTGATTTCAGCCACTGTGTCATCACCTCTCATAGACACTAACCGTGAAACCTTTTAATGTTACGTTAATTTCATTGTGTTATACTTTGAATGGCAAGTCCCAAAGGGTTTTTGGCGGTAACTCGTTTTAGACAAGCAGTCTGCTTGCTAGGCTGACGAGATTATCGGCAGTAACTGATGTAGTTAAGACATCCACCGTGCCAGTTGGTTACACTGCTGATAAATGATATCAAGATCATGATAAGCGCTTGCTCTTTCTTGGTGGAACATTTTAAGTTGGCGATAACAAACATCTTCTTTTTCTTCTTTTTTCCTTCATTTATTGAATTCGTACTCATGCACTTTTTATCACGTCTGTTCTTGAAACAGAATAGCGCTACTCCTGGGACGTTTACATGACGGTCTACATGTAAATATATACTAGGCAAAAATGTGCATCTCTCTCTCCCTCTCTCCCTCCCTCTTTCTCTTGGTCTCAGGTTTTAACCTGCTCCCATGTTGGCATTTCCATAGGTGAAAAAGTTATCTTGAATTCACTTTTAAAAAATTAAAAAAGAAATGTCTAGGTAAATACGTTTATCTTTATTGCTAGCTCGTTGCAATTTTGTATATTTGTGACAAGGTCATCCTAATCATGTGCAAAAAGCCAGAATGTATTTCTTTAAAAATTAGAACACGATAACGTAAATGGAAAACACAGTGGACAACTAGATCACTTATTTAATCAATGCTCAGAGGTCAAATGATGACACTGGGAATTTATTGAAGTTATCAGTGTCACAATAGGCCGTTACCCAAGTGACTGAAGCATTTAAAGCGACACAGTTGGCGGCTCTGCCTATGGTGCAGCTGAGGTAGCGCTGGCAATATTTTCGCTCTTGGGATACCTATTATTTTTCACTTAGCATGGAAGTGGCACTTCAAAACGGTAAACTGTGGGACTGCTATTCCCTGAATTCGTTTGAAGTATTTCTTTTGACGCATTTGAGACTTCAGAGACATTTACATGTTCGGAAATCCTCAAATCGACCAAGGTCAATTTTTGCAATGACATTTGGTCCACGTAGACTTGTTTTTAAGCAAATGTTGTCTGATTGGATCTTTGTACTTGCTGAACGGGATGGTGTTTTGGAAGACCATATTGTGACTGGATTTCGCAGAGGGAAACCAATGATATGGATGAAATTAGAAAATGAAATTTTCTCAAATTGGTTCTGTCAAAACTGTTCCTGTCATTATTCCTATTTAATTTTAGTTTTTAAAAATGGTTTTGAGATATCGGACAAGGAAAATAAAATAAAATGCTACATGTTACTAAAAGATGTATATTAGACAAGGAAACATTAATAACTACTACAGATATGCAACAAAAAATAGTATCACATGACAGGAGTGATGAAATACACCAACACTCTGTCTTTTTACTCGGGCGAGAGTAAAACCAACAGCAGCCCGTACCGACAATAGATTCGGAAACCACCGAAATTCTACAGTAAGTAACAGAAAAAAGAAAGAAAATGATAAAAACAAGACAAGAAAGCTTTTCTGTCCTTCATGCCACTTTTACCTTCCCACCTGGCTTACACTTTATATTTTAATTTTAAAAAAAGAAAATAATTATCAACAATTTCTCAAGGTTCAACATTCATATTTTTATCTCAACAATTTGTCTTACCTTTCGAGCGGCGTCCCAGTCAACGTGCACTTTGAAAGTGAATGTTTACCTAATGGCTTTTCTCGCGAGGTCTTTGGGATATGCCACTTAAACTTTGTGTGATTTACCGATTCACTGTATGTTATAACAAAAATTGACAAGCCACAAGTCGGAAATGAAGCTACACAAGGTGACTGATTTATATACCTATTACAAAGTTGACGATGATTTAACATGCGCATGCGCAACCCCACCCTTCTTGGAAATATGACGGCCTTTCCGCATTGGGATTAATAAACGCTTGCAAGCCTCATTTATTGAAACAATATATGTGGGGTGGTTCATTAACACCAAGACGGTACCCAAGGTAAATTAAGTGAATTGTTCATCTTAAGGCCTTTCATTTCATATTTGATGCGTCATTAACCTCAATGTTGTAACGATTAATATGGAGTTTAATAAGATTTTTATTGTGTGGATACGTTTTTTTCTCACTCTCCTTTTTATTGTGTTGCCATAATTGCAGTTCGAAAATCGAAATATTGCATTAATAATGAAATATGTCGATAGCACGTTTTGGCTAAGGCCGATCTCGTTTAGTGTGAATAAATTGGTGTAATACCGTGTTTCTACATAATAGAAACCTTAAAACTGTTGAAATCTGAACGATGAAGCACATGACATCTGAAACTGGTCGTTTTAACCTTTTTGAATGAAAACTGATTTTCTCCATGAAATCGTTTATTTATATGTTCCTCTATTAATGTTTTGCGTTGGTTTTTTAATAACTTTTATGTTTTAATAAGAAAAGGCACATGGATATATCTTGGCGTCAATAAACGAAACAATATTCTGTCAAGACATTCAATCACTGCAGCGGTTCCTTTTTGCTTAATGTATTGAAAAAGATAAGATAATTGGCTGTTATTACATTTCAGTCCATTTTTACTCCCCAGCAGTGCCTTGGCTTGGCATGAAACCCGGGACGCTGTCCAAAAACTCAATGCATTAAGAAACGGAAAGTACTGATTACTGAAAGCAAGTGGCCCTTGTAGTGGGACCAAACCCCTGATTAGATTGCCGTCTACCGGAAACTGACATAGAGTGCGCTGAATATATTTCCCCAAGGAAAATAAGTATTAAGTTTGAATGAGTCACGTGTAATCTGTGATTGATATCTGGTTCTTTTAATAATTGTTTATGTGTTATTCAGCCCCTGTTTTTATTTTAAATCCTGTATTTCGTCGATTAGCGCGGCTTTCAGAACACCCGGGTAATAAACGTACGTCACAATAAATTTCATACGTACTGGATGAAATGAATCTTGATTTTCCTTGCGTATAAAAACATTTCAAAAGAAATCTATAATCTTCTATTTAAAGGAAGTTCGCTATCAGTTTTCAGGACACCGATTAGTTTACGTTGAACATGTTCGATTTAAATACGTGAAATAATTGCTTTTATTTTAAATTCTTTCCGATCAGCGTGGTCTTCTGGGCCCCATATGCGACCAATGTGGGTCTACACTGAATGCTATGTTTGTTTGGTTACGGGTGCCCTATGGGACCAATGTGGGTCTACACTGAATGCTATGTTTGTTTGGTTACGGGTG